TTCATGTCAAGACCCGGATTGGCCAGATTCCCGGGGTGCCTGTGCTTCTCTGCAATTCCAGGAATATACCGCGTTTCCAACCTATGGCGGGTACGGTTGAGTTGGGTAGATAACTTTTTTCCATGGCTTCCTACCTTAGATCTTCCTGGGAACTTGATAGGAATGCTTTATTGACATGTTGGTCGATTGAGGAGGATCGTCACCCTCAGGATGAAATGTTGAGTTTGAAGAACTGAGATGCTAGATTGCGTAGTTTTGTATGTATCCCCGTGGATCGGAACGTCTCCGATACATTGGTTATTTGCCCAGTGTTAAATGAACACTCTTTGCGAATGACGTTCAATTGGAATTTGTCTTTCAGACCGTCGCAGACCGGAGAAGCTCCAGTATTAACTACTATGAAATTGAGGTTCCCGTCTGAAGGTCTATCACCTTAGGTAAATGGAATTCAGTTGGGTGTTTTGGCAAGGCCTATGTTTTACCTAAGCATAAGGACTTATCACGTTGGTGCCTGATTTCGCCGACTTGTAATGAGCCAACTAGATTGTTAAGTGGTCGTGTGGCACGTGCTTTGAATTGTTTGTTGTTTGCTCTTCCCCTTCGCTCCAGCTTCAATCTCAAAGTTGTTCCTGATGTCATCCGAGGGCTCTCTCGAATGAACCGGAATTTTCGTGGTCTGACCGGGTACCGGGTACCGGGACATGCTATCTGCCTATTTCGACATTAAAGACATGTTTGTGTCTTTGCCACATGTGGATATCTCTCGTAGCATTGAGTGGTTGCTTGATTATTTTGACAGCAAAGGTTGCCGCGAGGTGAATGTGGCGAGGAGAGGTAAGAAGGTTTGGCTAACTCTCGAAGAAAGCAGGATGAATGTATCTTTGTCTCTTTCGACAATATTCGGGATATGGTAGCTTTCGACCTTCATTTCTCTTACATTAATTCAGCAGGGGAGTTAATTCAACAGGTGATTGGCGTACCTATGGGCAAAGCTTCGAGGTGCCCTCTTGCTTGTATTATGTGCTCTTCGCCGAGTTTAAGTTTTTGAATAGCTTGGGTGCTAATCAGCCCCTCTTCGAAGGTTTCCGGATAGTTGATGATGTTACGGTATTCATAGCAGTCACTTCCGACTGTGATGAACAAATGGCGTGCCTTTTACTTCATCGTTTTGCCCAGTGTTACGGGTCGGTTTTGCGTCTCGTCCGAACGGATATGTCGCAGGATATTTTGTCCTTTGCAGGGGTGCACATTCATCGGGTTGGGACTTCAGTGAGGACAGTCGCAATTTTAAAGAATATGGCTTTTATTTGGCATGAGGGGCGTTTGGTGTTTGGTTGTTTTCGGGACTATGACTCTTATTCGGCTAAGAAGGTCAAAATCGGGGCAATTTTGAGTACCCTCCACAGGGTTTTTGCATTGACACCCAATTACTGGGGGCGCCATGAGCTGCTGCTTGCAATCAGGAGAGAGTTACTTATGCGCTCCTACCCGACCCACCTTGTCGATTCCACTTTTTGGCGTTTTTTGGCAGGAAATTAGGTGGTGATTGCTTAGAGGTGATTGAAGCCTGTATTTCAGCTAGGGCTTGGTAGGCTTACTAAGCAACAACTATGACGCTTGCTTCTAGTTTTTGGTAGGGTCGTAGTCTGATTACCCGTTTCTGATGACTCAGCTAGCAGGATGCGAAGTCCTCTTGTTTTTTTCAAGAGGCACCTCCGCGCCTACGGAAGGATGTCACATTGTTTTGCGAGTTGCGCCGCTCCGGATGTCTCAGATAATAGGGTACGTTGGGTTTCTTGGCCTTTTCCAAGAGTGGGATGACTTTACTGATCGATCTGACGGATGCCAGATTCCCTTATGGCCACCACTGGGCCTCCCCTGGGCCCAACGTGCATAAGGTTACAAGGGCTTCTACTTTACCTGGCGGAGATTTAAGTGTCATTCACTGCAACGTCTGGCTCTCATTGTGCTTTTGAGATCGTGCCGAGACGGTTGCGTTATGCGCAGGCGACGTCGATGCTCCGAGATCTGACCGGGTCGACCGTCGGCAGTTTTCCTTCTGCCATCTCTGGTGCTTATGACACCCTGGTCCATTCGGGTACGAGGAGGCTTTCGTTGTGCGGCCAGGACGGACTGCTTCGACTTCGAGAGAGAAGGAGCGAGGAGTGTCGATTTCGTCTGCTTGTGTTTTCTCTGTGTGTTTTTTTGTGTGTGTTTGCCTGTGTGCATGTCTTCCAGCGGTGGGCGATGTCTACTCTCGACATGCATGACTTCTCGGACATGTGTGTTGT